ATTTGAAAAATAATGTGTTTTTTGAACATTAAAGCATGTCAACATATTCTGTTACACCAAATACACAAAATAATGATCTTTAAATTAGCATCATATGACCCCTTTAAAACAAAACTGCACAATACTTGTAAACACACTATGGTACTTGTTTCTGTTGAACAACCACCAGGCTGGATGCAATACAGAATTTTAAAACAATTTTATTTCCCAAAGACCTGTCAGCTGTAGGTGTGTTAGCTGACATCAGGACTTTTCAAAAACAATTCACTGTCAAATAATGACATTTCAAACAGTGTAAACAGGGCCAGAGATAATATCAAAGAGCTGAGTCTCTAAACAACCAGTCACTCAAAAAATCTATAACACACACTTTTAAAGGAGAAATTCTTCTGAATTGCAGAGGGTGCATTTGCTTTTGCATTCTGTACCATACATGGATGAAAAATTATGTTATATAAATACACTCCCTATTTTTTTTTTCATTCAAATATTTGAAAACAAAATGCTAACACTCAAAGTTCATGCACATACTCTTTTTTTTTTACATTTTGTATTTTCTATATCCTGTGATATTAGGTTCTTCAAACAGAACAGACAACCATTGTAACAGTATTTGGAGAGGCATCATTAAGATCATATTGTTCAAATTATATCCATAACTAATAGGGTGACTTAATGGAGAAATTGTGTGCAAAATGTTTATTTTCTCCCATGCTTTTGTGCTGTTTTGTCTGTTTGTTGGGTTAGTTAAATGTATGACTTTCATAACAGAAGGTAACACAGCAGTGTCTTTTAAAACGGCCTGATCCTTCTTTCATACTTGTACTGTACTATTTTACATAGCTTTGAGATACCTTAAAATCACTGCAGCAACCGACTTATACAAACAAGTTAAATAAGGTAATAACACTGCAAAGGTCACATGTATATTATTTTTACTGAAAATGTAAAACAAGAACTGCTGTCAGAAGACTATGGACCATTACTGTCTATTTCACGTTTTCAGACAAATATTCTGAGACTAAAAATGTCTCTAAAAGAAAACGACTTTTAATCCACCCTGAAATGAGCATTAATGCTGCTCAAACTTTTCAACATGAGGACTGAGAATTTATCTAGTCACAATCTCCTTATCATTTAATGTGATATGGTCCACACACACCTCACTAGTCCATCAGCACAGTGTTTAACGGGGGACAGTCCTGTATAAAAGCAGGTGCACAGGATCCCTCACTGTAACACACACTTCTCTTTCCGACTTCCATATTTCCTGCGCCTCATTTCTAGTCCTCTCTCCAACCTCTCGTCCTCTTCAAGAGCCCTTGAGAATGAGACGACAGAGAAAAAGTAAGAAAAAAGTAAAAAATACAGTAAAAACACTAATATTGTGAAATATTATGATTTAAAATCACAAATGTCTATTTTTATGTATTTTAAAATGTAATTTATTCCATTGATGGCAACGGAATAAATTACATTGACTTCAGTCTTTGCTACACAAGAAACATTTCAATTCTTGTCTAAAAAAGTATTGAGTATATTTTGTAATGTGAATGAATCTCACCCTCTCTCTTTGGCGTCTATATCATGCACAAGCTCATCTCTCTGGTTGACTAAAGACACCAGCTCCTGCAACAACAGCTGCTCTCTGGTTTTATGGGCCTGGGTTTTCTTCCATTCTTCAGTTTTACAAAACAAGCAACACAAAAAATTGAGGATAATGAGAGATGCCACATGCCACAACTGAGAAAACTACTTGAGTGCCAAAATGTCTTTAATATGTAAAAACACATTCTTTCATTCTTAGCTATATATAGTTCTCCATGTTACACACAGTATATTTATGTAAGAACAGTCGTACCTTCCACAGCCATTAAATCTTGTAGCTCTATCTTTAGCAGCTCAAATTTCCTCTCCAAATCTTGCTCTTCTTGTCTGTCACACAAAAGGAATGATAATTATTAGCAATGCATATTAAATCAGCCTCTGTTCAAATGAAGCTTTAGAGAGGTCATCATTTAAATAAGTATAGTGAAACAAAATTGGAATAAGTGTGAAAAGACATACAGTAACTGCAAATGGTCTTGTCTCCTGATCAAAGCGTTCTTCTTGTTGACCAGGGTAAACCACTCCTGAATCAGTGTCTCTTCTTCTACACGATCACTACCTTCAAGTGTATGATAAGAGCACAACTTCATCAAGCCACACTAATCAAATGTTTTGTCATTTGCTCAGCACAATGCATCATAATCTATCATAATCTAAAGTTAGTTAATACTGTTAATAATAATCTGGAGGTGTGTGCAAATTATTCATTTATACGTATATATATATATACTACTTTAATCAGCATATATTAGTGCTGTCAAGCGATTAATCGCGATTAATCGCATCCAAAATAAAAGTTTTAGTTTACATAATATATGAGTGTGTACTGTGTATATTTATTATGTATATATAAATACAAACACATGCATGTATATATTTAAGAAAAATGTGTTGTTTATATATTAAATATATTTATATATAATATAAAATATAATAATATAAATATATAAATGTATATACAAGTAAATATTTCCAAAACATATACTGTATGTGTGTGTATTTATATATACATAATAAATAAACACAGTACACATAAATATATTATGTAAACAAAAACTTTTATTTTGGATGCGATTAATCGCGATTAAT